AAACAACATCAATAAAAACAATACAGTAAAATTAGAAACGTAATAACAAGTTAGTCTTTTAAGGGCAAAATATTTCACTAATTGTCATTCATCTATATATTATTATCTAAGAAATAAAACTGTTTAAGAAAATCAAAAAACGAGAAACTAATTATGCGTTTTTGTTCTCTTTAAACAGAAATCTGGTCATTAATCTCTAAGTTACTTTGTATGTATGTGCGTGTGTGTGTGTGTTGAAGAAGGATTAAAACAACTGCTCCACATGCACATCCTCACGCCATACATACACACACTCACTGTGACACGTCCATATGTCATCATAGGATCACATCACAGACGATTGACTAGAGAGTCAGTTTTTACTACGAACTATAACAGAAGTGACTTTTTTAATCTTCATTAGTTATCGGTTATCAGGGGAATTTCTTCCGAGCACTTTATTTTTTAGCGTAAATTCAACTGACTACTTACTAACATAATAGTAGTACAACAATAAATATATGTGTTTTTCAAACCTTCTTCACCATGAAATGCAACGATCAGAAGACTAAAAGTAAGCCAAAATAGTATTAGAATGAGTAAAATACCAAGAAAACAAACAGATACTACCAACATTTTGTAATGGATATGGAAAGGAGAAAAACCAGAGAAGATGCCAGGACTAAAAGGGAACAGAGAGTGATAAACAATTAGCCGAATTGGGTGTCATGGAACTGGCTATAAAAACAATTCTAAGTAAAAAAGAAAGTAAGAATGGAATTTCATTAACTGATGAAATCTAACATGATGAGAGACTGTGAGAATAAGGAAATCAATAATTAATGTATATAGTTTGTAATTCATATAAATTCATAGCTTTATGGGGTTATGTATGCATGTGCATGCGAGCATGTTTATACACAAATATATCTGGTATGTATTTACGTAGCACAGAAAAGTCTTCCTCTTTTTAATCGACCATTATTTCAAAGTTCAAATCATCTTTATTCGCATTCTTCACATTGTATAGCACACATCTGACTAAAATGGCTACATGCCTTTTAGGATTTTTAAATTCCGCAGCGACTACTGGGGCAAGATAACCCGATTGTCCTAAATAAGGGTAGTAAGCATTACTGAAGACACCGCTGAAAGGGGGAAGAAGGAAAAAAACAGGAGTACTTGTTATTCTAATGGACATATAAATGCATAAATTAGTATTAAAGTAAACAAAAACCAACATAAATCATTACACTCAAACAATTTTAATGTTCACTTCCGGTCACAAGGCAATAACACTTACAAAAATTAACCTCATTACGATATATTTTAAGTGGGGAAAGAGAACGAAATAGGGAAAGAAGAGATATTTATGTCACTATATATATATATATATATGCGGGAATAAAATTGATTATTTTATTGTTCACCTTATATTACTAAACACTTCAAAAATATTCCTGATAATAATAATACCGAAATATATTGATTTAAGTGGACCAAATACACATGAGTACAGTTGGATATTTTAAGGACAAAACTGTTTCAAATTAGATTGGACGAATAACATCCTTCAGAGCAATACTGGCAAACAAGGGGTATTGGATAGCTGTTTCCTCCTAGTTTGGAACTCTTCAGTAATGCTCACCCTTGGCCTAGTTGGAATGGAACTCATGATACTCAGATTCCCAGGCAGGTGCATTGTCCATTCAGCCAGAAGGTTCAGTTTCTGGTAAGATCATAAGTATGAACCGCTGAAGTGTCCCACAGTAAGAAGAACTAGCTGTCTTTCATTTTCTAACTGTAAATGGTTCTCTAACTGATTTCAGTAGGTTATCCAACCCAAAATCAGTTAAATCTCAGGGAACCAAGACTTGAACAAATCTGTTATTTTATTAGTATATTACAGCTTTTAAACATGTGTAATATTCTGAAGCCTGTGGAAGCATGTAATTTCATAGTTAACCTGTGATACGGACAACAAATTGAAATAATATTATTTTGTATATATGCACGTGAAACGTAACTCATTATCTTTGAGACTTGGTTATATACATGATATTACCTGGTAAACAGTTGCTAACATCGGAATTCGTCTTCTTCGTGACTCTTCAACCGGATGTACCTATATCCCAGTGTATGATGCCATTTTTACTGAGTTTCTAATCCAATACCCATCGTTTCAAACTTCAATGCACTATCCATTAGACCATAATTTAATTTTCCACCCTCATTAGCCATATAGCCAAGCATGGCAGTCTGCTTAAATCACTGGCCTACCAGAATTTTAACCCATCAAAATGCTTAAACTCACCTACATTTTTTATAGTTTTGTATCAAGTGGTTACTACATTAACTCACACACATATTTAATTAGCTTTCAATAAAAATGCTGTGCACTTCTTGAGGGAAATGATTTGGTTCTCTTTACATAAGCAAAAACACTACGTCACATGATAAAATAAAGATTATTAATTTACATGTAAATCCTGTATGAAGAGGAAATCTTTTGGAACTAAATACGCTGAAAATTTCTGTACTATGCGTTCACATATTGTCTGAAGTAAAGCTTTATTATTATTATCATTATTATTATTAAAAATTATATAAGTGGTAGAACTTCACATATGACTGAATCATTTCTATTGCTCACATTCTCACTTGGTTCTACAAGTGAAGCATGTGTAATATGACTGCATGTAGTGAGTGACCAAGCTCTTTCCCATCGAAATCATTATGATTTTATGTCATCAACCTAATCCTGAATGGTGATTGATTCTTTTCACTTATGGTGCGTCGGTGGCACAGCGGTTGGAACTCTCGCCTACCATGCACATGGTCTGGGGTTCGATCCCCGGCCACAGACGCACTCCTTTACCTCACTAAGCCAGAAATAAAGCTGGTAAGGAGGAAAGGTTGAGCATGAGGCTAGAAACCCCATCCTGTAAAATTAAACACTGCTACAGAAACTTCAAGTCACTAGCTTGAGGCCCTATGTTCCACTGGGAACGTGAAGAAAAAAAAAGGAAGACAGGTAAACAAAAAGACTTTTTATTTTGAAATAAGCGAACGAATGTTCGCTTCTTTTAAGATCAAATCACTAGTATAAACAGCTAAGGACAGTTTTGATTTGGTTGTGCTCTCTGAGCCGATTGATTTTATTGCGAAGCTTTTGTTGTCCTTCTAGACAACATCCCACTTCAGAGCAGGCTGAAAGAATTTTATTTTTTTTTTATTACAGCTTGATTCCACACTGTATTTTTGGTACAAGTATGGAATTTTCAGTATGGATATCGGTAGCCCAAATTTTGCAGGCAGACCATAGATATCAGGTGTGGGTCGGCAGGGGATCGAACCTCGGACCATGTGCATGGTCGACGAGAGTCCAAACCACTGTGCCACCGACGCACAGTGTAAACACAGAAACTGTCAGGGAATTTCTAGAAGCCTGGTACGCAGATGAATCAGCGATTAGCAAACACATTACCATAGATCAAATTTTGCTTTATTCCTTTGAATCCCCGGTGGAATATGGAGCTTCAAGATTTGAAGTTTCAGTGGCAGTGGTGCTTTTTCACGGGGTGGGGTTGCTAGTCTCACTCCCAATTTCCCCTCTTCACTGGGCCTACTACCAGCTAAGCGACGTTTAGGAGTGCATCGGCTATCGACCAACTAATAATAAGTAAATTACATAACAAAGAAGTTCAAATCCTGAGTCAGTAAAAATTATCAATGTAAATTGGCAGCCATCCACAACAATGGTCGTCAGGCAATACACTTATATCATTTATGGAGAATTCGAACAAATTCATCTTATATTAAAGCCTGCTCTGAAGATGTTGCCAAGATAGACAACGAAAACTTCTCAATTAAATCCAGCAGAACACAATCAAATCAAAATTGTTTGAATTTTCCATGAATTATTCAATTTCAAAATTAGGAACCCATTCAACATAGATAGACTGACGTTTAAAATCTTCTCCATTCATTTCTTTTTATATAACTTCACTGAAAATAATGATTTAAAGGTCTGCTGCCAATTAGCTTAGCTCATAACACACCTTAGTTAAGACATTTTTTCCACTAACTTATATATATATATATATATATATATATATATCAACAGAATTTCATTTGGAATCGAAAAATTTTTATTCTTATTCTCATGTGATGATCGGTGTATTCTCTGAATAGTTGATGATGACGTCCTTTTTCTCTCTCGTTCTCTCTGCCATAGCTAACGCTTGCATTGTGCCAATGAAATGCCTTTTTCTCTCACTATCGGAGCAAGAAAAAAAACCATAGTTGAAAACGAACACGTCTGTCATCATCTGTATTTGGTACCAATTACAATTACTTCAACTATTTCTTAATCAGTGTGATCATATATATAAATGTCGTATAGAATTTTTCATATAATTATAGCGAATAAGAAGAAATAGGATGACATACATAAATCTTATTTTACTGCTGTCACTTAGAGAATGACTGAAATGATGCTGTCATATTCACCAATTGTCTTACATGTGTCACCTATAACCCAATTTTTTTCATCCCTTACCTCTTTTGATATAAGTGTATTGGAAGCATTTCATATCACATCATTACTATTATTATTGCCATTAGTAGTAGAAGTAATATTAAATGTCTATAAATGCCAATATGCCACTTGTTGAAGAATAGCGCACATGTATAGGAAAGTTATGAAGATTTTTTCTTCTCTTCTTGTCAGTCTGACAAAATATTGACTAATTCTGCTTCTTTTTAAGCCATGAATATTAAAAATTAGTTTATACAAGGGTCGAAAAGATTCAAAGGTATACTGGATAGTTGTAATTACAGTGTTCAAGGGATTCACGTGCGTCGGTGGTACAGCGGTTGGGACTCTCGCCGACCATGCACATGGTCTGGGGTTCGATCCCCGGCCACAGATGCACTCCTTTACCTCGCTACACCAGAAATAAAGCTGGTAAAGAAGAAAGGTTGAGCATGAGGCTAGCAACCCAATCCCGTAAAATTAAACACTGCTACAGAAACTTCAAGCCTCTAGCTTGGAGACCTAAGTTCCACTGGGAACGTGAAGGAAAAAAACAAGGGATTCACACTGTCTACAATGATCACTTCATACATATGGATAATAAATAATTTTCCATTTCATATGTCTCAGAGACATAAACAGCACTTGTTAAATGGAAATATGCATAGAACATACAAAGTAAGAAGGATGAAAGACGTAGGTTTCTGAAAAGACTCTTCACGGTAATTTCACTCACTACAGCTGTACAATCGCCGAAATACAAACAACTTTATCCCTTGAATGTATTCAATGATTTGCTTTTGTTTAAAACACACAATAAAATGTAAAGTTCAGAATGGCTGTCATCAATATACGTTAATCGCTCCCGTGGTTCAATGGTAAAATGCTAGCCAGTTACACAGAAGGCCCAGGTTCAACTTCCGGCTGATGAACTCCTAAACCTCGCGTAATCTACTAGCCACACTAGTAGATGCAGAGAAAGAGGAGAGGTTGGTCTTGAGGCTAGCAACGCCACCCTTCAAAAATTTCACCACCGCTACTAAGACTTTGGAGAGCTCGAAGCCCTATGTTCCCTCGGAAAGCAATGAATGAAAAAAGTATGTCTCAGTCAAGTTCAAAGTAAAAATTTGGTAGAGATGAATGATCGTGAAAAAGAAATTGTGTAACATGACAAAATATCTGACGCAAAAATTACTCTAGAAATAGGCATAGGACTAAGAAGCGACTGACTTTACTTAGGAATTATCTAGGATGAAGTAAACAGATGTTTTTCATCAACACAAGATGAAAACTGTGGAAACATGAGACAATGATCAAGTGAACCACCGCATGTGTTATTTCGATAACTAAGGCTTCATTAATATTAAGTAGGGAAGCATTATCTGGTTTTTGTTGGCCACTACTTTGTACCTTTTTTGAATAACACTGAAAGGACGTGTCATTAAGAGTGAATGACTAGTGTCAGAAAGATGTTTGATTGCATTTTGAATAACATTCATTATTCTCTACAACTCTGCATTTGTTTTGTTCGTTACTGTCTATCCTAAACAAAACAAATGTTGATATTATTCATGAAGCATAGTTGTATATATTTCAGTCGCAGTGAAAAGAGTCCCTCTGCTCAATTTTCTCTTTCCTAAATAACTGTGTATCTAAAATAATTATAAATTAGACGAGGCTGACTACAGTGCAATACACATAAACTGGAAGCAAGTGTATTCATAATAGTGTGACGGTGTGGGTCAATGAGCTCCTTAAAAAACTCACAACAGTGTCATGTCACTTAGTATGTTGATCAGATCAAACACTTGATTGACAGGCCTCCATCACCATCCAGGGCAAAATAGTTAGAGGATTACCGTTCATTCAGAGAGACTTTGCCGTTGAAAATTAAGAATATGGAAATATTATTGATTTATGTGACCATAGGTGCCTGCTTTCAATCTCTGATGCAATATGAAGCAATACGCTCATAATTAGTGAGGTTGGGCTTAAAGTGTTAAATACAAAGGACAAGTCGATCGATACGATTTTCAAACTGCGTCGATTTAGATGGCTTGGACGTATGTTACGAATGACAATCGACTACCCACCTCGATTAGTAAGTCAATCAGTCAGCGAGTCAATAGTAAAATCCTGGCAACTGTGTCAGTTACTTACCATCAGCTGATGATTTACTCATGTAACTACGGGCATTAAATCCCTAACTATAAAACTGTCACGTGATTAGAAGACAGGATATCATTTAATACACCAATGGGATATCTTTCGACATTGAAAAGTGAAGTTCCTGGAATAACCTCCATAATCACTTATTACACATTAGTTTTCACTGGGTTTTTCCCACCTTAATCTTCTGATGACCATCATATACCAATTCATTACACCACTTCATTTAAACAAAAATGGAAAAATATTTAAACTGCTACAGTTCAAATAAACAAAAAAGACAAAGAAAAACAATTCTATTTCTTCAATGAAAAGGCGAAAACAAATTAAAGTAAAAAGGTATTCAAAGATATGAAAAATTAATTACCTTGGAGAAAATTTCAACTCGGAATGAACAGAACAAAAGTTGAATACCAAGTAAGGCCGAAAAAGCATCAATGTATAAGAAGAATAGACTGAAGGAAATCTGTACATAGACATGATTGCAGTCTAATATAGAGAAAAAATTCAGTGTTTGTATAGTCCGCTTACTGGAAAGTGCAACGAACAAATCTTAAATCAACTTTATATTCTACATTAGTGATCTTGGATAACAGTTTGATCCACAAGAGTTGTTTCCTCTTATTTCGAATTAGTCAGCTGGATATATTCGCATTCCAAATGGGTGAAGTTATTTCTCCTTTAGACACCACTGTTTCAAAAGCTAATGCGTCCTGAAATGTACTGCTAACCCTCAAATGCCAAGTAATACCAAAATAGTTCGAAAGCGTCGTAGAAGTCTCCTCACTAGGAACATAGACCAAGCATTCCGTTCAAATTTAATCAATTAAAGGGGAAATACAAAATAACCATGAACAATGATACCACCATGAACAACAAGAGGCCCTCGTAGCCCACTTGCCCAGTAAATAATTGCTTATTTTTTGAAACGATGAACGGGAACATCATCTCTCCAGCTAACGAATCCTAAGTATGGAGAAATGAGCACCCTGGATTCCACCATTAACCATCGTCGACCAAATTAGATCATCCTAAATACCAGACATCGTTGAAGTGTCCGTACTAAGAGACGACATGTCAACAGAGACTGTGACCTGTAGGTCACAGGTTCGATATCTAGAAGAGTTGTGAGTGTGCACTGATGAAGAGTTTCAAATTAGGACGAAATAGACACCTAGTACTCTCTGGTTTTAAATGGTCCTATTACTGACATCAACCCCTGATCACACTTAAAACAATTCAAATCCCAACAAAAACTTCTTGAAAATAATGTACCATAATAAACTGATGGTCGAGTATTACACCTATTGATGAGAGTGAAATAATTATCTAGTTAACTGTTGGTTTAAATCCTATCGGTATCCGAATTTTCACTTCACCTTCAGTCACCATACATTCGAAAAAATAATTATCGACAAAAGAAAATCAGAATTAATTTTGTACATACTAAGTTATGCCTTTAACAGTTTTATTCGGATAGTATGCCACAGGACCGATATTTTCGTCATCTGCAGGATTCTGGAAAAATAAAATAAAATAGTGACAAAAGAGCAATTTAGTCAGGACTTATTTTGAAATATTTTTTTGTAAAACATTAAATTAAGGCTTAAAAGCAAAAGTTAGAATGATTTGCGTGGGCTAGAAGCAAAAGATTGTGGTTCGCATCAAGTTTTAACCCACCGAGACTCAATGATATGCCTCCAACCGATTTCAGAGCATACTTGATCACCCCGAACTCAGGTTAATATCGATCTCAGTTTCATCAGTAGTAAGTACCAATGAAAGGTAGGGATACGTGTAGAGCTGTTTCCTTTCACTGACAAAAGTTCGAAGTACGAGCCACCTAAAATGTTGGCCATACTGCAAAATTAACTGATAGTGTTCAGTCTACACCAAACGAAGGCCCAGATACGTGACATTAATTACTACCTAGTGGCTAATCAAAGTATCCACTACAGTCCAACAGGAGGCCAGTCGCGAGCCTTCTTTAATTGCCGTTCTGGGTGATCCGGGTTCGGATTTCAGAGGGGACATCGCGTCCTTCAAGATTTTAGATATGCCTTGTGCAGACAAGCAAGAAACCTAGGTCCGAGGCTTCTTGCCAACTGCCTCCAAACATTTAACAACAAGTTTGATCATTCTTTTGTACCATACTTGGTAAAATATATCTTTTTAGTTTATTGTAAATTGTAGTAGTGTAAGTTGTACCGTCTTCGAAACAATTTATCAGTACCTTTATTATCCGATTAATAGTTTTTGATGAGTCTATTTCATTCCAAAAAAGGTCAAGAACAATGGGATTCGTGCAGAAATCTTCAACGTTACGTTCAAACAAGAGATTTCATTTAGCTAGTCACTCATTCATAAGGATATTTTTATGGTTAACACCTAAATGCATTCATCAATCACAAAAGCAATCAGAAAGTCGGTCAAAGTTATAGAGAAGGAGAATAAGGTCCTGTTCTTTGGTAATAGTTCACTTCCGTTAGTATAGAAACTATTTTATGTGGTTGGCACTGTTGTTCCTCATATGCTGGGAGAGATTTGCAGCAGATTACTGAATGTGCAGTGTTCCTTTTCTCACCTATACATCCAGTAAGTTATCATATTATAACAGTGACATACTGTATTAAACAAAATTCCCTCACTGTGTCTAAACTATGATCACACAATGAAAACCACTAGATAGTAATTGTAAATGTATATAAATCCTTATATGCTCGTAGAAAACTATTGGTTCGATTTAATAAGATTTGAAAATTGGGATTTGTTGCAATTTTTCTTGTTTTGAATTTCCCGCTAATTGATTATAAGGGACGGAAATCCTCGGCTTCTACTGTGAACTCTCTCCTGATGCCTTGAAACTAACATGATATTATTTAGGTTGGCAGTGGCGAATAGTGGAATTTGTAATGCGCGCGTTATTCTATTTTAGGACTCATAAGTTAAATATACTTGTATCTCAGTGAGTGATAGTGGTTTAAAGTAATCAGTTGAGAGGTAATTCGAAATAAGTTTTCTTTTTAAACAGCTGATATCCATCACGAAATAGGCTACTATCGTAGCCAGTGAACTAAAATATAACTCTGAGGCGTTTGAAACGATGAATGCTAAGTTCAGGTCACAGTGCGTTGACCACCATTCACTGAAATGCAGATAAATTTAGATGAGGTACGAGATAGGATGAAACATGCCTCCTGGATTCCACTGTTAGCCAGCATCAATCAAAATAAAACAATTAGGAATTATGAAACGTAATGGCAATACGTTTATCCAGCTCATCTCTCAGTCACTTGATATTTCGCAGTGGTTACCAGACCAAAGTAGATAGAACCTAAGACTTATTGGTAGAAATTCGAGTGATAAAACCACATAGCCTTAGTTTGTCTAAAAAATCCCTAGTAACGAATATGAAAGAGTACAATTTTGAATTAAGTTATTGGAAGTACTGTTAGAAACAAAACATTACAAAAACTCTCCTTCAATTCGTTTTTATTGCTGAATAACTATATAACCAAATTGGAGTTTTAGCTCACTGCATTAAGCACTAGGTATTTAGCAAATTGGTTTTTATTTTTTTTTATTTTTGATTACAGCTTGATTCCACACTGTATTTTCGGTACAAGTATGGAATTTTCAGCGTGGATATCGGTAGCCCAAATTTTGCAGGCCGACCATAGATATCAGGTGTGCGTCGGCGAAGGCTCGAACCTCGGACCATGTGCATGTTTGAATCCCAATCCACCTACTTCAAACTAGACTCCATGGTAGTAGTAGTAGTAGTATCACCAGTCCTTAACACAATAAGTGCAGCTCATATGCTGGTAAGTGGAAGACCTGTTTCAAGTCACTGAGTTCAAACTACAATATAATCAAACTTCTATTTATTAATAAATTTTCCAGAGGCTGAGTAAATTAGACACACACACCTAAAATAGTCAGCAAAGAATTAGTTGAACACGATTATAATTTTTATCTTAAATACTCTAAAAGATGAATAAATTAGATGACATATTAAAAAGTGAAATATTTTACTTCCTGTTACATTTGAAGTAATTATTCTCAAATTAATAACTTAATATACAGAATTTTTTAAAATTAGAAATCAGTGACATTTCATCATCATCAGAAATTACAGAAATAAGAGTAAAATGAGTTTTTCCATTAAGCGAATACTTAAGGATAGGAAAACCGAGAAGAGTTGACATCACTTGGCTTCATGGCATGAGTTTTTTCACTACAGATCTTAATATTAATTATGATAAATTTTCAAGTATTGGTTTTTTAGGGATTTTGTTTGATTGATAAAAGGATTTCATCATGAGTTGACATCATACGAGAAGAATCTGCAGGAAGTACTGAACAATCGTCTCGTCCTAGTTTGGGACTATTCAGCAGTACACACTCATCGGGGCTCGAACACAGGACCTCCTGGTTACAGGGCGAGCGCGCAGACCATTCAGCCACTGGGATCCGTTCCAATAGCCAGCCCATGAATTTTAACTTCTGCTGATTCATGTTAAGCGTGGCCACTTCGCAATGTCTTCTTCTATAATTTACTGCCTCACCTCACTGCTCCAATCCTCCAACCAATCAAACAAAATCTCTAGAAAACCAATACTTGAAAACTGATCTGAAGCTCACAAGCCACTGGCCCTATTCGCGTAGTTATTTGGGGTTCTAGTGGGGAGCTGTGACCAGTAGGGTACAGCAGGTTGAAGGGGAGGCAGTAAATCATAGAAGAAGACATTGCGAAGTGACCGCGCTATGTCATGAATTAGCCGAAGTTAGAATTCATGGGCTGGCCATTGGATCGGATCCCAGTGGCTGAATGGTCTACGCGCTCGCCTTGTAACCAGAAGGTCCTGTGTTCTAGCCCCGATGAGTGTGTACTGCTAAAGAGTCCCAAACTAGGATGAAGCGACTGTTCAGTACTTCCTGCAGGTTTTCTAATGGTCACGAAGTAGGTAAAAAAGGGGAATCGAACTAAAGAAAATTCCTGCAAGGAATAGAGTGATAGGACTTAGACACCTATGAACAAAAACTTCTAATCGACTGACATCTTCCATTTCTAGCAACGATGTTTCATACCTGTGCATAGTGTACATTTATTTTGATGGATAGCTGAAAATCATTCGTGTGCTAAAGATGACTCAGTTATTCAAATGCCAAAGCAGCTTTCTGGATATTCGCTAAGAGTTTGTAAGCACCTCCACAAAGTCGTCAACACACTCAACCTTTCGACTGCTTATATTTTAACCAGAAGTCAGTCCAAACCATTTCTTTAGTAACATCTTACAACTGACAAAGACGAATCACATGCGAAGTGCATTCATAATTCCACCGAAGATATTCAACAGACTCTCCCTTTTACACTGTTTTCACCTACAAGGACTATATAATCTGAGTACTTTAAATCAAAAAGTTGTTTTCTCAGATATTAAGTCTACCAATAAGACGGATGCCAATGGGGTCACTTCCTTCAGTGTATCTGCAATGAAATTGAATAAGAATGGTAACACTGAGTCCCTTCAACGGACTCCACCGGTTATCATTCATTCAAATGACAACTCCCTTTACCTTTCCCAAAACTTTCACAACCAAGCATTGTCTCTATATATCAAGACTGAAATAGGGGCGCCAAGTTGAATGCAGACGCGCTGATTACTAATACCACTTGACTACTCCAACAACATGATCAATAAAATAATGGGCCTTATTTTAAGTGGACCAAATTCCGATTGATTGATTTCTACGTGGGACATATCCCAGCATATCGCATTGTCACAACACTCCTCGATCGACGGAGTCAACTATCACGTCCAAGTTTGGAAATATAGCAGTTACTATAAGTTTGCCCCTTAGAACCCTTTGAAATGTGGTGACTGGGTCAGTCCACCCTATCCGACCCTAAAAACTGTTCTTTATTTTCTAGAGTTTGCTTTTCTTGAACCACACTACCGCCTGTATGCTTATAAACCCAAAGGTATTAGATTCTGCTTTGGTTAGGGGGATCCCCCTTGATTACCACAAAAATAGGTTATCAACGACTTACACCGATCCAGTGGAACTATTTATCATTTGCATAAACTCACTAGTAACCCGATTAGCCACTAATTCACCATACAGCTTCTAAACCAGCCACGCCAAACAGTAATGCCTGCCAGATAGATAGAGGTGGCCTAAACTGAGTGTGTCCAGATACACCTCTGATGACTTCAACTCTAAATGATGTTAAGACTGGTTCGATAAGGCTAATAGGCACACTGCTGTTTGCCGAAGGTAGTTTCGGAATACTCATATCAACCAGTCAGCTGCATGTACCACAACTGATAACTTCGCATCTGGTATCACACTGAGACACAGAGTTGGCATTAAGATCTTAACATAGTTCCACTTGACAGAGGACTTCAAAGATAATTTTTGATAGTGATGTGTTTGAGCCTCACCATGAACCATGCTTCCCTTATACCTTCTAATATCTAATGCTTAATGTATTCAAAAGCAGGTAGGTCGCG